TCTTATTATCATCTCTTTTCTCACTCCTGTCCATCCTGCATGGTACTTCCATTCTAGTTTTCTTGAAACTGGTTTTTATCCTCCCATGCCATTGTTCAAGAATCTCCAATGGCTCCCTATGGCCCACTTAATTGCCTACACAGACTCTCCTCCACCCCTTTCAAATGCCACCAGCCTCAGAGTCTTCCCAGAAGCACGCTGAGGTACTGTGCCCATCCCCAGCAGTCCCCCACTATCCTGTTGATAGAGGCTGAGCATCCCAAATTACGAATGCTCCAGAATCTTAAGCTTTTTGAGTGCCAACATGATGCTCAGAAGGAAACATGACGCTCAAAGATTTCAAATTTCAGATTTTCAAATTTGGGATGCTCAACCAATGAGTATGATGCAAATATTCCAAAATTAAAAAAAAAAAAAAACCCTAAATCCAAAATCTGAAACCCTTCTGGTTCCAGGCATTTCAGATAAGGGCTAGTCAACCTGCACTTCTAGAACAGTGTTGTCTAATAGAATATAATGCAAGCCACAAATGTTTTTTTTTTTTTTTTTAAACGGAATCTCCCTCTGTTGCCCAGGCTAGAGCGCAGTGGCATGATCTTGGCTCTCTGTAACTTCTGCTTCCTAGGTTTAAGCTATTCTCCTGCCTCAGCCTCTTGAGTAACTTGGATTACAGGTGCCCACCACCATGCCCAGCTAGTTTTTTGTATTTTTAGTAGAGATAGGGTTTCACCATGTTGGCCAGGCTGGTCTTGAACTCCTGACCTCAAGTGATCCACCTGCCTCGGCCTCACAAAGTGCTGGGATTACAGGTGTGAGCCGCCACACCTAGCCCACAAATGTAATTTTAAATCACCCAACAGCCATATTTTAAAAGGTAAAAAGTAAACAAGTGAAACTAATTTTAATGTTTTATATAACTAACATATCCAAAATACAATCATTTCAATAGGTAATCAGTATAAAAGTTTTGAGGCATTTTATGGCTCTTTTAAATTTTTCAATTAATTGTATTTTTTAACAGAGACAGGGTCTCCCTCTGTCACCCAGGCTGCAGTGCAGTGGCATGATCATAGTTCAGTACGGCCTCGAACTCCTGGGCTCAAGCAATCCTTCGCCTCAGCCTCCTTGAGTAGCTGGGACTACAGATACGCATCACCATGCCTGGCTAATTTTTAATTGTTTTTGTTTTGTAGAGGAGGTCTTACCATCTTGCCAAGGCTGGTCTCAAACTCCAGGGCTTAAGCTATCCTCCTGCATTGGCCTCCCAAAGTGTCGAGATTACAGAATAAACCACTGCACCTGGCCTGTCTCTTTTTAAAATACAAGCCTTCAGCCAGATGCAGTGGCTCACGCCTGTAAACCCAGCACTTTGGGGAGGCTGAGGTGGTTGGATCACTTGAGGTGAGGAGTTCAAGACCAGCCTGGCCAACATGGTGAAACCCTGTCTCTACCAAAAATACAAAAATTAGCCAGGCGTGGTGGCGCACACCTGTAATCCCAGCTACTTGGGAGGCCAACTGAGGAGAATCCCTTAAACCTGGTAGACGGAGGTTGTAGTGAGCTGAGATCGCGCCACCGCACTCCAGCCTAGGGATAGAGCGAGATTCTGTCTAAAAAAAAAAAAAAAAAAAAAAAAAAAAATCCAGTGTGCTCTTTACACTTACAGCACATCTCAGCTCAAAGTAGCCACACTCCAGGTCTGAATTCAGCTTACTAGCAGCATATGGCTGCTGGAGACCCCGGCATGGTTCTAGAGACTGTGAGCCTGAGTTTGGATTCCTGAGTAGCTGTCCCATATTCCAACTGTCTTAACAGTGGAAGTTTATGGTTTGAAGTCTCAGTTTATGGTTTGAAGTCTGTCCCTCTCTTTCTCATTCATGTGTTAAAATCCTAACCCCCAGTAGCTCAGAAGGTGATTTATTTGGAAATAAGGTTGTTGCAGATACAATTAGTTAAGGTAAGATGACATCATAACGGAATAGGGTGGCTCATAATCCAATACAATTGGTGGCCTTTTAAAAAGAGGAAGTTGGAGGCCAGGTGTGCTGTGGCTCACATCTGTAATCCCCGCACTTTGGGAGGCCAAGGTGGGCAGATCACTTCAGCTTAGGAGTTCAGGACCAGCCTGGGCAGCAGGGCGAAACCCCATCTCTACTAAAAATACAAAAATTAGGCCGGGCGCGGTGGCTCAAGCCTGTAATCCCAGCACTTTGGGAGGCCGAGGCGGGTGGATCACGAGGTCAAGAGATCAAGACCATCCTGGTCAACATGGTGAAACCCCGTCTCTCCTAAAAATACAAAAAATTAGCTGGGCATGGTGGCGCTTGCCTGTAGTCCCAGCTACTCAGGAGGCTGAGGCAGGAGAATTGCTTGAACCCAGGAGGCGGAGGTTGCGGTGAGCCGAGATCATGCCATTGCACTCCAGCCTGGGTAACAAGAGCGACACTCTGTCTCAAAAAAAAAAAAAAAAAATACAAAAATTAGCCAGGTATTGTGGTAGATGCCTATAATCCCAGCTACTTGGGAGGCTGAGGTGGGAGAATCACTTGAACACAAGAGGTAGAAGTTGCAGTGAGCTGAGATCATGCCACTGCAGTCCAGCGTGGGCAACAGAGTGACTCTGTATCAAAAAGAAAGAGGAAGCTGGCCAGGTGCGGTGGCTCATGCCTGTAATCCCAGCACTTTGGGAGGCCAAGGTGGGTGGATCGCTTGAGACCAGCTTAGCCAACATGGTGAAACCCCAGCTCTACTAAAAATACAAAAATTAGCTGGGTGTGGTGGGTGGCTTACGCCTGTAGTCCCAGCTGCTCTGGAGGCTGAGGCAGGAGAATCACGTAAGCCTGGGAGGCAGAGGTTGCAGTGAACTCAGATCGTGCCACTGCACTCCAGGCTGGGTGACAGAGCGAGACTCCAACTCAAAAATAATTAAAAATCAAAAGAGGAAGTTTGAACACAAACACATACACACAGAGAGAGAATGCCATGTGAACATGAAGGCAGAGAGCTGAGTGAGGCATCTACAAGTCAAGGTACCCCAAAGCTTGCCAACAACCCCCAGAATCTGAGACAGAGACAGGGAACACATTCCCAGTCACGACCCTCAGAAGGAACTAACCCGGCTGACACCTAGACTTCAGACTGCAGCCGCTAGAACCCAGAGACAGGGCGTTACTGTTGTTTAAGCCACCCCATGTGTGATGCTTTGTTATGGCAGCACTAACAAACTAATAATCAAGCGAGCCCCAGCTCATCTGTCATATGGGGATAATAAGGTAAACAATCATGGCAGGCCTCAGTGGCTCACACCTGGGACTTTGGGAGGCTGAGGTGGGTGGATCACCTGAGGTCAGGAGTTCGAGACCAGCCTGGCCAACATGGTGAAGTCCCTTATCTATCAAAAACAAACAAAAAAATTAGCCGGGCTTGGTGGGTGTGTACCTGTAATACCAGCTACTTGGGAGGCGGAGGCAGGAGAATCACTTGAATCCAGGAGGCAGAGGTTGCAGAGAGCCGAGATGGCGCCACTGCACTCCAGCCTAGGTGACAGAGTGAGACTCGGGTTAAAAATAAATAAATAAAACAACAAAAAAATCATAATAGCTAACTTTTTTTTTTTTTTTTTTCTGTGAACCAACCAGTGATCTTTGGCTGCAGCTCAGAAGAAACAATAGCTAACTTTTTTTTTCTGGCTCTGTTGCCCAGGCTGGAGTGCAGTGGTGCCATCTTGGCTCACTGTAGCCTCAACCTCCTGGGCTCAGGCAATAACAGCCGCTGGAGCATGTGCCACCATTCCCAGCTAATTTTGGTATTTTTTCTTTTTAAAAAGATGGCGTTTCTCCATGTTGCTCAGGCTGGTCTCGAACTCCTGAGCTCAAGCTACCCACCCACCTCCGCCTCCCTATGTGCTGGCATTATAGATGTGAGCCATTGCACCCAGCCAGCAGCTAACTTTTTTTGAGTACTTTATTAGGCACTCTCTCTAGACCCTTTCTCAATCCTCTCAGTAATCCAACAAAGTTGCTACTGCTAGTATCCTTCTTTTACCAGGTACAAAGTGGTTGAGTAACTTGCCCAAGGTAACCTAGCTGCTAAGGAATGGGAGCCAGGATTGAAACTGACCCTCTTAACTCTGCGGTAACAGCTCCTGAGAACCCACCTGGCAGGGCTGTTTGTGAGGAGTGAATGAGTTCAGGAATGGCCAGTGCTTGGGGGAGCGGCCAGTACATAGTGAGCGCTCAGTCAATAGTAGCTATTGTTGTCATTTCATCCCTAGCACCTGGAGCCTGGCACAGACTGAGTGTGTGTTGCTGAGAGGAACCTTGGACTTCCTCAAATGTACCATGGCATCTAGAAATTGACAAACTCGCCTGCCCTTCTGAGATTTCCCAAGGGTGGCTAACCCTGTTGACACCTTTTAAGTTTTGCTTTCCACTCAGTAATTCAAAGAAACCGAAAATAAGACCTGGAAATGACCTCATAATCAGCTAAAGGGCAAGCGTGTAGGAAATCCCTGGACCACAAACTCAGGATTCAAACTGAGCAAACCGCCTGGTCTGGGTCAGAACGCTAGCCTGGGAGCAAGGTCCACCCTCAGCTAACGAGGCTCGGGGCCTTTTCTCCAGGACTGGGAGGGCCAAAGCCTCTTGCTGGGGCCTCAGCCAAGAATCACTTCATTTCCCCACAGGTCTCACTAGTGGCAGCCTGGGGTAGAGGGAAGAATGGAGAATGTAGACCCCAAGTCACTGTGTGGGCGACTGTCAGACCGGACTCAGTTTCCCCATTTTAAGACCGGCAAGTGGGACCAGATCCAGATAGAGCTAAGATCTAAGATCTGAGTCTAAGGTTCTCTGAAGGTTGGAGACACCAGCAGCTTTCTCCCACAGCACTGTGGGAATCTTACAAGTAGGGTCACAGGTCACAGATGGGCACCAGGGGGAAGGAGCCAGGGAAGTGGGAGAGGGGTGGTTTCCGTAGCCCCTGCTGGACTGGCATTCACTCACCTCCAGTCTGGCCACAGCAAATGGTGTGGCCCCCACCATGTGCTGAGGGGTGACCCCGCTGACCCGGGTTCTGTAGTCGGTGATCTCTCCCTCAGGCCGGATGAACTTGTCGTACAGCACAGCACCGTAGACGTTCACGAGGCTGCAACGAGCCAGGCCGCTCTCCCGGAGAGGCCCCAGTCCCACCATCTCGCAGTCCATGGCCACCACCTCACGGCTGCCAGCCATGTTCCTTGGGAACCCTCAGAGATGCTGGAGAAAGGCGTATGGGGGTAGTCTCATTCTTGGGCCAACCAAGCCTCCAGGTGTCCTCAGCCAACCCCAGCTGGCCTTACCTTCCGCCCTGCCCTTTGTTTCCCACACCACCTGGCCACAGTGGAAGCTGGCCTCTTGCCTCCCTCCTCCCCCTGCCTTCCGCTGCCCGTGGGTCTCAGGGCCTCTGGCCTGCCCAGCAGCCTGGGGACCAGGAAGGCCCCTCCCACTGCCTCCCCAGCAGCTGCTCCAGCTCCCTGCTCTCACCTGCCTGCCTCTGGGCCCTCAGCTCACGTCTGCCTCTCTGCTGCCACTGCTCAGCTACTGCAGCCGCTCTCAGCAGTGACTCATCTCTAACTCCGAGCCGGCATCCCGACCCTGTTTCAGTTTCTGGTTTGTTATCAAGTGAAGTCAGGGGCGGGAGGCCGGGCACGTGGGTTGGGCTGCTCCATTTCCTGGGCTACCGGCAGGTGGGGAACTCCGCTCCTGGCCGAGTCAGGGCTGACGGAGCTGGCAGGTCCAGGTCAGGATGCCCCTCCTTTGCCCCAGCCCTCCCCCTCCTCAGATGACGCATCTGACGTGCGTGGAGTGGATTGCAACATTTTTCTTTCCTTTCTCACCCTCCGCCCAGAGAATAAACATCCCCAGGACTGGAGCCCAGTGAATGTCCCACAACTACTGGGGCCTGCTACCAGTCTGATACTCAGTGGTCTCTTATAGTGGCAGGAAAGCTGCCTCTTGGGGACATATAGGCTCTTATTGGAATGAGCAGGAGAAAGCTGTGGTGGTGGTGGCTAGGCCCACTTCCAATCCAGGGAAGGCAAGGAGCAGTGAGGGAGCCCTTACAGGCCTCTGTGGGTTCCTGATGCCTCAGTGAGCTCTGCCTCCAGTGGGGCCGACACTGTGAGGCTGAAGGAGAAGCAGGCCTTGGGGGAGCCCCCACCAGCCCAGCCACACTTCCTTGGGTCCATACTCGCCCAGGCTAGGACTTTGAGCTCTTAGAACAGTGCGTGCCAGATAGGGAGTGCTTGGTATTGAGTAAATGACAAATGAGTTACAAGTAGGGTAAAAAGAGAATCAACTTTCAATGAAGAAAGTGCTCGTCTTGTACTGTGGTGAGATCCGACAATGATGAGCTGAGCGCTCGCAGAGAACGGGAGCCTCCTACCCCAGATCTGTGTGGAATCCACACGGAGCCCTCCAATCTCACTGCCTCCCAGTGTCCTGAAGATTTGTGGTTTGAAAAGGAACTTCCCCAGGTCTGTGATGTTTTCAGCAAGTGGGATTTGGATGCCCAACTTTAAAAGAACTCAAAAGTAAAACCAAAGACTGAGGTAAGTCTTCATGAGAAAGCACTGCTTCTGCTTATTGTTCATTGGATGCAAACTGGGGGTGCAAGAGAGTATTTTTGGTTCCCATCCTGAATAAGCAACTTTTGCTTTAATTCAGACTGTGGGAACTTTTTTCAAATGCGTAAAGATTTGTTACCCTGATTTAGGAGGAAATGAAGTAACATTCCTGTACTTAATGGGGACATGCACTTAAAAAGTAACCCCCTAAAGATCCAATTGGAGGTTTGATTTACAACCCCCATGGGATCCCCAAGTGCCCTGTGGTGATCCTCGGATTTTGCTGCAACCCCTCACACCTTCACCTCCGCTTGCCTCCTCGGTCTCGGACAGAACACATTCCACTCCTCCAACTATTATCCCAGTTCTGTGCCTACTCTGTCTGACCTGAGCTGCCTCTAATTTTTACCATTTCCCCGTTATTGTGGAAGCCCTACCCCAGTCCTCACCTGCCCGGCCCATGAGTCTGCGGGAGTCACTCCCAGGTGTTCCACCTCCATCTTCCTGCGCTGCTCAAAATGGTCCTTTGAGTCCCACTACATTAAATTTCCCCAAAATCGAATCCCTTGTACTGTTCATCACAGCACTTCTCTGCTCAAGAAATTTAGTGATTTCCTGTTGTCAAAAAAACAAAAACCTCAACTCCAGGCAGTTTCCAGACTCTCTTTCATCGGCCCACCTGCCTTTCCAGCCTCATCTTGCATCAGTATTCAATCTAAGGCCATTCTTTTATGTTTAAACCCACATCCAGGCTGTTCTGAAACCCCCTGCATCTCCTAAGGACTAGGAATGATGACTAGAGGGACCAGTAAGATCAGGTCTCTGCTTCAGGTGCAAGAGACAGGCAGTGCCAAGGTAAGCCCCTTCCCATGCCCTTACCACGCCTGCCTCCCCCACTTCCTTCCAACCACACTGGCTTGCTCTTTCTTCCTCCAACATGGTCATGCTCCTGTCTCAAGGCCCAGGTGTTTGCTGTCCCCTTACTCTTGAAAGCTCTTCCAATGTGACCTGGGTGGGCGTCACATTGCTCCCACTCTGTGACGTATTTCCATGAAGCCGCCTCTGACCTCTCTAAATCTGCATTTCTTGCTGGGGCGATGGCTAGCGTCTATAATCCCAGTTACTCTAGGCTGAGGTGGAAGATTTGCTTGAGGCCAGGAATACAAGACCAGCCTGCGCAACACATGGAGATTTCATCTCTAAAATAAAAATAATAATCCATTGTGGTGACTCACACTTGTAGTCCTAGCTTCTCCAGAGACTAAGCTGGAAAGATCAATTGCACCCAGGAGTTTGAGCCTATAGTGAGCTGTGACAGCCAATCCACTCCAGCCTGGGCAGCATAGGGAGATCTTGTCTTTAAAAACTAAAAGTTTACTTCCTATCCCCTTCTCTGGCCTTTTCCCATAGGAATGAGCACCCTCTGAAATACTGTATTTTACTTGCTCATTTGTTGTTCCCCCTGCCATCTGTTTGGTTCAGTTCTGGCCCCCCAGCACCTAGGACCCTGCCTGGGTCCAGCTGAACTGTTCTCAAGTGTATTGTGTGCTCTGATGGATGCCAGCCACTGGAGGCTCAGCACCCAGAGAGAAGCCCGATCCCAGCCGGGGTTTCCCAGTGCTGATGCTCCAGCTTTAACTGGCATCACCCACTGGCAGGCTTTGCCCACAAATCCTCTTGGGTCAGGTGACAGCAGGAGAGTGAGTCACACGGGGAAAACTTGTCAGCCTTTCAAGACACACATCCAGCTACAGCTCACCACCTGTAATAACCACAGCAGGTACAAGTCAGCCACTCTGTGGCCCTCCCTGAATCCACAGCACTGGCCTTAGGACACAGGCTGAGATACTGGAGGGCAAGAGGCACCTCTCCCCACAGGGGACATGTTCTCCCATCCCAGCCACCTCCATCCCTGCTGGGCACATACCCCTAAAATGTGTATGTGTATTCCTAAATGGTGGTTGGCCCTTGAACATGGACTTGAACTGCATGGGTCCACTTACATGTAGACTTTTGTTCAATAAATATATTGCAAATTTTGGGGAAGATTTTTCAACAATTTGGAAAAACTCAGATGAATTGCATAGCCTAGAAATACTGAAGAAGCTAGGTGTCATGAATACATAAAATACATGTAAATACTAGTCTATCATTTACTACAATAAATTATGCACATATTAAAAGGTAAAATTTAACAAGACTTACCTACAGACCATACATGGCACCAGTCTGTCAAGAGAAATGTAAACAAATGCAAATGTGCAGTCTTAAGCCATAACTGCATAAAATTAACTTCAATATGTAGTGTACTAATGTGAATGTAGCCACTTCCTGTTATTGTAGTGAGCTCAAGTGTTGTAAGCATCTACTTAAAATATGTGATAGTAATCATCCCCACCTGAGCAGTTTGTATCCAGTAAATCTGGTATCCAATAAAGTGATCTCTTGCAGTTTTTGTGGTATTTTTCATCATGCTTAGTGCAATTCTGTAAACCTTGAATCACACCACGGGACCCATGAGTGCCACGGCTGATGCTGGAAGTGCTCCCAAGAAGCAGAAATCATGACATTACAAGAAAAAGCTGAATTGCTGGATATGTATTATAGATTGAAGTCTACAGCTGTGGTTGCTGCCATTTCAGACAGACGGTTCATCTTGTATGTAAGTAAAAAACTTAGATACAGTACTACTGAAATATATTTTATCTTATTTTTCTCTAGCTTACTTGATTATAAGAATACAGTATATAGCGCCGGGCGCGGTGGCTCAAGCCTGTAATCCCAGCGCTTTGGGAGGCCGAGGCGGGTGGATCACGAGGTCGAGAGATCGAGACCATCCTGGTCAACATGGTGAAACCCCATCTCTACTAAAAGTGCAAAAAATTAGCTGGGCATGGTGGCACGTGCCTGTAATCCCAGCTACTCAGGAGGCTGAGGCAGGAGAATTCCCTGAGCCCAGGAGGCGGAGGTTGGGGTGAGCCAAGATCGCGCCATTGCACTCCAGCCTGGGTAACAAGGGCGAAACTCCATCTCAAAAAAAAAAAAAAAAAAAAGAATACAGTATATAATACATACAACATATAAAATATGTGTTATTCAGCTGCCTGTTAATCAGTAACGCTTCCAGTCAAAAGTAGGTTATTAGTAGTTGAATTTTGGGGGAATCAAGTTATATGGACACTTTTGTATTGTATGGGGAGTCAGCATCCCAATCCCTATGTTGTTCAAGGGTCAACTGTATATACTATAGGTTGAACCATAAGAAACAGTGGGGCTGGGGCTGGGCACGGTGGCTCATGCCTGTAATCCCAGCACTTTGAGAGGCCAAGGTGGTGGATCACCTGAGGTCAGGAGTTCGAGACCTACCTGACCAACACGGTGAAACCCTGTCTCTAGTAAAAATACAAAAAATTAGCCAGGCATGGTACTGCATGCCTGTAATCCCAGCTACTCAGGATGCTGGGGCAAGAGAATCACTTAAACCCAGGAGGCAGATGTTGCAGTGAGCTGAGATTGTGCCATTGTACTCCAGCCTGGGCGACAAGAATGAGACTTCATCTTTAAAAATAATAATAATAATTACTATATGATCCAGCAATTCCCCTACTGGGTATATATTCAAATGAATTGAAAGGAGGGTCTTGGAGAGCTACTTGTACACCCATGCTCATAGCTGTTTTACTCACAATGACCAAGGGGTGAAGTAACCTAAGTACTGTTCACTGATAGATGAATGGATAAACAAAGCATAATATATACATACAAAGAATCATTCAGCCTTAAAAAGAAAATTCTGGCCAGGCGCAGTGGCTTATCTATGTAATCCCAGCACGCTGGGAGGCCAAAGCAGGAGGGTCACTTGAGGCCAGGAATTCAAGACCAGCCTGGGCAACATAATGAGACCCCGTATCTACAAAAAAATTTTTTTTTAATTTGCCAGGCATGGTGGCATGTGCCTGTAGTCCCAGCTACTTGGGAGGCTGAGACAAAAGGATCACTTGAGCCCAGGAGTTTGAATCCAGCCTCGGCAACAGTCTCTTAAAAAAATAAAATTCTGACACATGCCACAACATGAAGACACTGTGCTAAGTGAAATAAGCTAGTCACAAAGTGACCATTACGGTATGATGCCAGCTGTATTAGCTAGCTAGTCAAATTCATAGAAATAGAAAGTAGAATGGTAGTTGGCAGAGATTGACAAACGGGGGAAACGGAAAGTTTCAGTTTCATAAGATGAAAAAGGTCGAGGTTTGCTTCTCAGCCAAGTCAATACAGATATAAACTACTGAACCATATGCTAAAAGCAGTTGACAGTTAAATTTTGTTATGTGTATTTTGCTACAATTAAAAACATTTAAAGTGAGTACATAGCTTCAAGGAGAAACAAAAAAGTTAAAACAAACATGGCCAGGTGCAGTGGCTCCTGCCTGTAATCCCGGCACTTTGAGAGGCCAAGGTGAGTGGATTGTTTGAGTCCACGAGTTTGAGACCAGCCTGGCTAACACAGTGAAAACCCATCTACTAAAAATACCAAAAAAATTAGCCGGGCGTGGTGACATCTCTGTCATCCCAGCTATTTGGGAGGCCAAGGTGGGAGGATCTCCTGAGCCAGGGAAGTCGAGGCTGCAGAGAGCCATGACCGTACCATTGCACTCTAGCCCTGGCCACAGAGTAAGACCCTGTCTCAAACGGGAGACAAAACTTGTGCTCTGTAATATGGAGATAAGAAATAAATTATCTAAATTGTTAGCTCTGCTATTTTCTTGCTGCAGCCCACAGACGACATCCTCTTGAAAACTGCCCTCTTGAAGGCCAAAGCACCCAGCAAGGCTTAGTCCCCCAGTCCCTTCCCGAACCGCAGCTTGAGAATTCCCAGAAAGGGCCACTTCACCCACTTTTCCAATTGTGTTTTATTCCAGAACAAACGGTTTTACACCAAAGGTGATCTTAAGTAGTACATTTTCCCACTGTTAACAGCACCATCTTCTTTCAACCCCAGACCAAGGGATCAAAGCTACTGCTCAACTTAAGTTTCACATTACCTACCGACTTTTAAAAAATCCAGAACAAAGTTCTGGAGCCAGGCCAGATGTGGTAAAAGACTCAGCCAGCCCCTTTCTCTGTGCTGTCCTGATAGGGAGAGGGCCAGTGACTGGACAATCTATAACCCCAAGTTTGTGGAACGCAGGGCTTCAGCTGAGGGTGGGGTAGTGTGATATCAGCACTGTTTCTACATCCCTGTGCCCTGTGCTGCTTTGCTCTGTAGTCACCTCCCAGTGTTGGGACACTGCCCAGAATCCACACCTGCACCTGCTGGCCACAGACAAGACACGGATAACCGTGACCCTCTCTCTGTGTCCTCACCAGGCCAGTGCCCCACCACTGCTGGAAACAGCCAAAAGCCGGAGCAGTTCTGTGTGAGCCACAGCTGTTCATCCCGTGGACTCAGGGGTTATCGTGAAGAGGTTCCAACAAATCCTCAAAGAATAAACAATGTTGTGGCCCTATTTTGCGGCTTAAAAAATAAAGGATAAACAGAAGCTCACAGTGGCTGTGGCTCACCACGCGCCAGGCACTGTGTGAAATAGTTCAGGTTTAGTGCTCATTACAACCCTGTGAGGTAGGCCGTACCACTATCCCAATTTTACAGACGAGGAAACAACAGGCTCAAGAGTGAAGCCCCTCACTTGCCTAAGGTCTCAAAGCTAAGTGGCAGCAAAGATGGGGCCCCAAGGTCTGTGTGACCTGAGCTCTTGGTTACTCAATACTTCACAGCTGTCACTTAGGAAACAAGAGAACATTTTTAGAAACAGGAGAAAACCCACTAGCCACAGTGATTGTCAACGAGCTGAGGGGGCACCAGACCAGGTTCAAGGCCACTGCTTCCCTGGCAATGCCCCGCCCTGCCTCAGGAGACATGCAGACTCCACTCCCCTAGACGAGTGGCCCTGCTCTTAATAAAGATCAGGCACAGTTCTGCACAAAGGCCCAGAATTCAAACCGCCGTCTTGTGTCTCTGCTTTTGCTTAAGCGCCCAGTATTGGGCGGACTGGGGAAATCCCCGATTTGCGTCAAAATAAATATGCCGGTTCTCATCCAAAGCTTACCTGCCTTTCCTCCTCCCTGAGCTGGGCCTAGGGTCTTCTGTTGCCAAGCGTGTGAAGGAGCCAGCTCCCCACAAGAAGCCTGTGAACTCTACTATTCCACTGTAGCCTAGCAGGGAGCTGACAGGCCATGAGGAGCGGAGTTCCTACAATGGCTTTAGCCAGAGCTCCAGGTCAGGGAGGAGGAAAGAAATATCTCCTTTAGGACTTAACTCTTTAACTCCAGGGCATATTCGTTCTGAACCCAAAACTGAGTGGAGGAAGAGGTAGACCACAAAAGAGAACTTTACCCCCAGTCATTGAGCTGGGGTAAGGGAGCTCCAGGATATTGACACCCCTAACCCCCATCCCGAGAGGGTGATATGGCCCCTTTCAGTGGCACAGCGTGACTCAGGAGATCTGGAGGGTGGGGAAGGCGCCACAACCTGGGCGGTCAGTTGGCACATTCCCTACTCCTGCTGGGCCCTGGAAGATGGTCCACCTGACATCTCCATGGAGCCTGTAAAGTGCCATTAGCAAAACCACAGGAGTCAGGAGAAAGAACCAACAGCCCTGGAGAGACGGAGGGCTATGCGGATGGTGTCAGCCTAACAGATGACCCAACATCTCTGGCCCTGGGACTGGCTCACTGCATCCTGCCCCACCCTGCCCAAGAAGGAGCGCCTGCTGCTGTCCTGGCCCCCACTTCCTCCCGGCCACATGGGCAGTCCAGCCAGGGGGCCCCACCCCCTTCTCAATCCCTTCTGTCCTGTGCCTCCCCAGCTCCGCCTCTGCTGCCGCAGGCTGGGTCCTCGGGCCAGTACTGGTCCTCCATGTACTGCTCCATGTCTGTGCTGCTGTCAGGTTCTCTGTCCTCAGGGCGGGTCCAGAGGCTGCAGGCCTGCTGTTCCCACTGCACTTCCACCAGCCGGTAGAGTTCCATGGCTGTCGTGGCATCTTCTACTGACGAGTGCCCATGCTGGCCCACCTGCTGACGAGAGCCGACACATCACTGCCTGCAGGCCCAGCGAGACGCCTGCTACCCAAGAAGCGAGGCCAGTTTCCCAGGGCTCTGTGCAGGCCCAAGAACACGTGCACTCAGAATGGATGTTCACAGAAAAGGGAGGGCACCTCAACTGCACCCCACAAGCCATCCAGCTTCTCCAAGCCTGCTTTGGAGAAGGCGTGCTAAAATACAAGGCGTGCTAAAAATCTCTTGCTCTAAAGGCTTGCAGACCAGATGAATAATAAATGTGAAGCCCAGCAGGAGCAAGAGGTACTGGCTCCTCCTGATCAAAGGCTCTGCGTCTGGGTGTAGGGGATGGGAGACCATCTTTCAGGGATGCGGGGACGGAGCCAAGAGTTAGGCAGGGGACAGTTCTGGAGGAGATCGGCCTGGGAGAATGTGTTCTGAGAGAATGGCAGTACACACTGGGGAAGAAGGATCATGGGGAGAAGCACTCAGGGCTGCATGTACAGGTGGGACACCCGTTTGGGCAAGCTTCCTGGACCTGGACTGGGGAAGAAAGAATGCCAGGGAGGCCAGGCGGGCCTCCGCGCCTTCCAGCCACTCTCCCGCCACGCACCTGGATCCTCTTGTGCAGCAGCTGCAGGGCCAGGTCCTTTAGAGAGACCCGGGCCCGGGTGTGGAGGCCGGGCTGGTTGAGGAAGTTGGGGACATAGGTGGTGTCCCGGGTCTGGCTCCGAGGGTGGACGTACTTGAGAGCCTGGAAGTCGTTGTGCAGTGCATGCCCCACCACCACCTTGCCCTTCAGGAGCTTAAGGATCTGTGAGCAGAGAGAGGAGTCAGGGAGGTCCGCCCCCCAACAGGCTGCAGGCCAACAGGTGCACAGATCCCGGTGGAGGGAGGAGGCACAGAGCGGGGAGGTGATGAGCTCCACAGTCAACCATGCCGCCCAGGTCTGAACCCACGCCCTTCTACTGACTATACTCGTGGGGGACGGGCATACCTAAGTCCTCAGCACCTGTCAAAAGGGAGCACTGCCAGCAGCATTCCATGGGGCAGCTGTAAGGACTAAAGGAGGTCATGGATGGAAGTCTTCCTGCCACTAGATACAAGCAACTCTACCGCTGGCACAGGCTCCCAGCCTGGAAGACACCACCAGGTCACCGTGACTCCCACCCCGCCCAGCTCCTCCCCAGGTCCTACCATGCTGCAGGTCTGGGTTTCACTTTACCCCCTCAGGAGGCCTTCCCATGACTCCCCCATCTACATCAGGACTCCCGCTGCTCTCTGCATTTCATACTCTCTCCTTCAACAGCCATCACACTTTCTAGCCAGACTCACCCCCACTGTAAGGTCTGAGTGAGGGACCATGTTTGTTTGACTTGACTACGCATCACATTTCTCTTCTTTTCAATGCCTATCTCTTTCTTGTAGTAGAACGAATTCCATTTACTGACTTATTATTTACTTATCATAGGAGGTGATCAATATCAATAAAGACCAGCTGGGTGAAGTCAACAGAACCGTGCCTGTCACTGGTAGACACACCGTAAGCAGCAGCTCTTGTGAGTAGACAGGGACATAATCCCTGTCTTCAGGACTCTGCCTCCTTGCCCCGCTGTGTGCCAACTCCTCCCCACCCTCTTAACCTGCTCTCCTGCTCAGCTCTGGCTGCCAGGACGATGTGTTCCTCCCCTCCCTGCCAGGTACCCTCCTCACACACCAGGGAGGCCACGTCCAGGGCCATGGGCCAGCAACCTCCCTCCAGCCCTCTTAGCCAGGCTTGGGCTTCCCTTATCACCAGCTTCAGGCCTCCACAGCCTACCTCCGCTGGCATCATATGGTTTATCCCTAAACCCAGCGTTCAGTGCAGATGGATGAGATGCATAGAGACTTACGGTAAGGGACATGCCACCATGCTGGTCACTCACCACGCTGCCCCTCCCCGCAGTCAGCCACGAAGTGGAAAGAGATGAAGCACACCCACACTGGTCCAGAGTCTGGACAGACAAAAAGTGGCCCTGCTCTTGGGACTCCCACCCACCAGGTCAATGGAAGGCACCAAGGAGCTGGAGGGTTCACCACACCTCCCCTCCTGTTGCTACTCTTCCTGATCCGCCTGGTTGCTGTATAAAATTCCTCCAGCCATTTCAAAGGAATGCTCAGGCCAGTATTTCCCAACCTTGCCTAATCCCAAGAAAAACAGAAGTGTTAAAAAGTGGTTCTGTTAGAAGGCTTGTGTAGAAAGGGCCGATTTGTCTCAATGCAACTGATGTATGACACATTTTTAGAACAATGCAAATTTCACCCCTGCTTATGCATCATTTCATCCTTAAGAAACACTGCACCCAGCTGAACTGAGCCAAGAGGGAGTACACAATATGCACACAGCCCAAAGAGCTCCCAGCAACCCTGGTTCGCCGGTGTGATGAGCCACACCCATCCACAGCTGGTGCTACACTTCCTGACTTCAGAGAACTCCTGACTACTCAGTAACTCAAGCTGCAACCTTTCTGACTCCTGTTTCCACAAGCAAGCTGCAGGTCTCCTTCAAGGTGAAGTGCCATACTTACTGGTGTACTGTGCATTTCTTAACCATTTAAGATGTGTGAAATAGGCTGAGCGCGGTGGCTCAAGCCTGTAATCCCAGCACTTTGGGAGGCAGAGGCGGGTGGATCACCAGGTCAAGAGATCGAGACCATCTTGGTCAACATGGTGAAACCCTGTCTCTACTAAAAATACAAAAAATCAGCTGGGCATGGTGGCGCGTGCCTGTAATCCCAGCTACTCAGGAGGCTGAGGCAGGAGAATTGCCTGAACCCAGGAGGCGGAGATTGTGGTGAGCCGAGATCACGCCATTGCACTCCAGCCTGGGTAACAAGAGCGAAACTCCGTCTCAAAAAAAAAAAAAGATGTGTGAAATAAGAAAAAAAAAAAAAAAACATGATGTGTAAAACTGGACTACCATTTTTATTAGGTTTCTATCTTTGTTTTCGGGGTGTCACTGATGGTCTTTATCCCCTTCCTCCATTTCCCCTTAAGCCCTGTGGCTTTATGGTGCACGTCTGCAGTGTGATGATTTTAATGGGATCCAGGTCAAAGCCCTTGCCAAGCCTGCTGGACCAGTCTCTATGGAGGGGACTGGGGACAAGGATCCTAGATTGTTGAAAAGGCCTTACGCGTTTCCTAAGGTCAAGTGTGTCTGGGAATTCCTGGTACATCAGTATGGTCCCAACCACTAATTAACTTTTTCTAAGCACTAAGAAATTAACATAAGGAAATATGCCAAAACATGAATACTTGATCGTGATGTCACTGTGGACTTTACAAATTTTCTATCAATGCATACCACTTTTTTTTTTTTTGAGACAGAGTTTCGCTCTTGTTACCCAGGCTGGAGTGCAATGGCGCGATCTCGGCTCACCGCAACCTCCGCCTCCTGGGTTCAGGCAATTCTCCTGCCTCAGCCTCCTGAGTAGCTGGGATTACAGGCACGCGCCACCATGCCCAGCTAATTTTTGTATTTTAGTAGAGATAGGGTTTCACTATGTTGACCAGGATGGCCTCGATCTCTTGACCTCGTGATCCACCTGCCTCGGCCTTCCAAAGTGCTGGGATTACAGGCGTGAGCCACCGCGCGTGGCGCATACAACCTTTTATAAGAGAAAGCAAACTCTGAAATGTAAGCTGTTTATCACCCTGTAGTTGGTGCAGCCTTTCTACACTGTCCTGTGCAACAGACCAGCAATCCTTATCTGGAGGCAGGGTCGGGATTTTATTTTTCTTTCCCCTATTCTATGGAGAAGGAAACTACTGATTGGAAAGGTTAGGTGACTTTCCCAAGGTTTGTTGCCCCCAGTGCAGCTAAGTGGTGACTCAAACCCAGGGTGGCTCTTTCCAGTCCACCACACCTCCCAGACAAGTCCCTACCCTGCCCTTACCTCTTTCTGGGCCACCTGGAAGGGGATAGCCTTGCGCATGTGCTGCCGAGTGATGCCACTCCAGCGAGTACGGTAGTCAACGACGGGCATCTCAGGCCTGATGTACTTGTCATAGAGGACATCGCCATAATAACTCACCACGGAACAGCGGGCCAGCTCGCTCACCCGCCCTCGGGGTCCCGTGCCCACCATCTCACAGTCAATAGCCACACACTTGCTGGGCAAGGGCCCTGAGGCTTTCCTGGGGGCGGGCCTTCTGCTGCATTCGGCAGCACTAGACCCAGCCCTCGGACACTGATTCTCACTGCTGGCAGCTTCAGGAGGTGGCGCTGCCCCCAAAGGGGTGGGCAGTAGGGAGGACCCTGGTTCTGGAGGCATGCTTAGCAGCCCCTGCTCCTGCAGCAAGGCCTTCCGGGCCATGAACCGCTGGTGCTGTCGGCTCCTTCTCTTGTGCCTTCTCCGAAGCACATCCTTGGCATTGGGGATGGTGAGGGAAGGGCACAGGCACTGAGCAGACTCAGGGCCCTCCCGGGGTACCATTCCAATCAGCTCACTGCTTGGGACAAGGGAAGCCTGGGGAGTAATCTTCCAACGGGGCAGCAGCCTGGAGAGAGAACACACAGGTAGAGGGGCTGGGTAAGGGTGTGCCAGGCAGCCGGCCCACCCTCCTCCCTGCGGTGCTCCCAGAGCCCTGCACTGTAGCTCGGGGTTCCCACATTGAGTCAAGGACCCATTTCACTAATAAATGCACTCACACTGTAAACACATGCAAACCACTACGCTACATGGCATCACTCAATCTGCTCAATGACCTGAACAAATATTATCATCTTCATTTTACACATAAGAAACTGTGCCATGGAGGTGAAGAAACCTGCCCAACTGGCAAAAGCCAAAGGCTGATAAGAACCCAGAATCCACACCCTCAACCTCAAACCATGGCCAAGTCCAATACTGTTAGCAGCAGACTTTTTTTTTTTTTTGCTGTGATTTTTAGCTAAGGAAGCATTAGACTTTGACAGTGTTATGGTTACAGGAAAATAAAGATTACAGAAACTGTGTAGCCCTTTTTAAGAAATCTTTTTTTGAAATATGAAGACACAGATCCTCAGCAGAACCTGGAGAAGAAATTTCACAGGAAGCCCGCAGTAATCGTATTTTTGTGTAATATGTTGACCAAATATAATTTTTTTTTTTTTTTAGATAAGGTCTTGCTCTGTCACCCAGGCTGGAGTGCAGTGGCATGATCACGGCTCACTGTAGGGCTCAAGTGATACTCCCACCTCAGCTTCCCAGTAGCTGGGACTACAGGTGCACACCACCACATCTGGCTAATTTTTCTGTATTTTTAGTAGCAACATTGCCCAACTGGTCTTAAACTCCTGGACTCACACTTTGGCCACCCAAAGTGCTAGGATCACAGGCATGAGCCACCATGTCCAGCCTTTAAATGTAATTTCTTTACCAGACTTTTTAATTCATTAATCACCACAGCTTCTACAAACACTTAGAAGTTCTAATCTGAAGCACTTGCAGATTTCTGTGGTGGGATCCCACCCAGTGAAGCATAAGTCCTTATCACTGAATGCTAGGATAAGAGATGCTCTCACACACCGCTGCTATATATTAAATGTTCATGTGAGTTTGCAAAATCCAGCGTCTTCCCAACAGCCAAGGCCATAGCTTGAAAAGCCTACTTCATTTGTTATGCCAAGTCAGTCAGTACCTTTTTAACAGATCAAACAAACTAGCACTTTGAAGTCAGGCAGAGCAGGGTTTAACTCGGCTCTTTTTTCTTTTTTTCTTTTTAGATGGAGTTTTGCTCTTGTCGCCCAGGACGGAGTGCAATGGTGCCATCTCAGCTCACTGCAACCTCTGCCTCCCCGGTTCAAGCGATTCTCCTGCCTCAGCCTCCCGAGTAGCTGGGATTACAGGCATGCACCACTACACCTGCCTAATTTTTGTATTTTTAGTAGAGACAGGGTTCACCATGTTGGCCAGGATGGTCTCAAATTCCTGACCTTGCATGATCCATCTGCCTCAGCCTCCCAAAGTTCTGGGATTACAGGCATGAGCCATGTGCCCAGACTAACTCAGCTTTTTGTAAGTTACCTAAACCGCTGAGTTTCAGTTTTCAGGCATGTAAAAAGATCCTACCACCCCCTCTCCTGTGTGAAGAGGAAATGACACAACGTAAGCTGGTATCTTCCTGTATTCTAAACAGTAGGGGCTCAATAACCACTGCTCCTTCTCCCGGAGAGGTGAGACTCTAGTCCGTGGTTGGCAACCAGCTCTTCTCAGGCCACAGCAGCCCCCGCCTGGATACACTGCCCTTTCCTAGACACAGGTCTTCCCCTGTTCCCTTTCTACTCACAGCCCTCCTGCCTTTTCAAGACTCAGCTACTGTTCTGCCACCGCCCAGAAGCCCTTCTGGAAAAACCTTTATCCCACTGGGTTGCACAGACCATTGCCACACTGAGGCTCTCCGGGGTCTCCACTGTGCCCGGTGCTGGGCAGCTGCGAAGATGGATCCTGAACTCCAAGAAGTTTAGTCTCATGACAGAGACGGAAACCAAATAGAAAGTGTGTTAAGGGCTGGAATAGAGGAGCCAGGGAGGCAAAACAGGCTGGAGGACAATTCTCTGGAGGCTTCCTGGAAGAGGCTAAATCTGTGTGCATGTAAAATAGCAACCTTCCAGGTGGAAGGGAGAGGAATCAGTGGCCATGTGAGGGGCAAAGGCCTGAAAAAGGAGTCAAGGAAGAGGGCCCACCAGCACCCTGAAGACTTTGGGGTGTAGAGCATAAGGCAGGTCATGCTGGAGGAACTGCTCTCCTCTCCTTTGTACCATTTCATCTTCTGCTCCCCACTCTGGCGGCCCTTCCACTAGCCACAACTATCCCAATCTGGTGTCCCCTGAATTGGTCTCTACTGGCCAAGCAAGCGGGGGAGCCCCAGAGGCCCCTACGGAGGTCACTGAAATATCCCACAGTAGCCCTGATGCAGGACATTAACAGTCTAGCTGGGGAGCAAAGAAATTCACCCCTCTGTGCTGAGCTCTATAGCATTACACCCTTCAAAGTCCATTGGTACACACAGTCTACCTCAGAGCTGTCTGAAGGCAGATTAGAGCCTTGATTGTCTCTGTCCCTTCCGACAGCCAGCCTAGAAGCCAGCACAGGGCAGGTCCTCTTCAGAAGGGTATTAGAAGAGGTCTGGAGAAGATGAAAACCAGAGCAATAGCAGGAGAGATGAAGAGAAATGGGAAGTGGGCGGGAGGTGAGGTCAGTTGCCAGGTTTGATGATGCCAGTATTTGCATAAAGACTCCCCATACTCTAGGGCCGGACAATGCATCCTGACGACTCATCCTGACTCATCCATCCTCCTTGCTCATCCCATCCTTTCCAGGAGAAAAGGTCTCTTTTAAAAAGGTTTTAACTGTAACCAACTTCCTCAGATTGACAGTCACATCTTAGAACTGAGAAATTCAGAACCTCAATTTGCCTCAGCTCAGCAATAGGAGCAAAAAGCCGAAGAAACCCAATGCCGACCTTGCTAATAACTAATTTGGGAAAGGGGGATGGGAGGTAACCCCCTCCTTTCTCTGTGAGGGGCTGAGGACTAGAGTGAGTGGTTTTCCTGATCCTACTGGCAAGGTTTTAAAGAAGCCAGAAATTAAGATATCTGAGAAAAGGTCTCTTTGTCCTCCTATTTCAAAAGATAAAAGCAGTCCTTTTCTAAACACCCTGACCCTGCTGACTCTCAAAACCAACAATTATCAAGGACACACATCTTTGGGGGCCCAAATGTAGCTCAGTGAAGCTGGAGAGAAGTTCTGCTCAGATAACACAACTCTTTCATCAAGAACAAATACAAGCTTTTCTCCAGTCTGGACCCAGCACTCTGGGAATCAAACACCGGGCCTTCAGGCAGGGGGTCCCTGGCCTAAAGGAAGGGTCCCAGCTGCAGAGTGAACGGAGCAAAGACCCCAAAGGGAACCACTAAGTCAGAATCCTCAGTGTCATCAGAGCTAGATAGAGCCTGCTCTGGCACTAAATAGCTAGACGATCTGGGGCAAATCATTGTCCCTTCAACTTCAACCGACGGCTGTGAATTAGATTAGGACTTCCCAAAAGTAGTTAATTACCAGAAGACATCTGATAAAAGGCCGATTTTCCGGCCCACTCCCAAACCATGCTAATTGCCATTTTGGGAAAAGGGGCTTGATAACCTAGATTTTTGGGGGGGCAAGACGAACTTTTGCTCTTTTTTGCCCAGACTGGAGTGCGATGGCACGATCTCCGCTCACCGCAACCTACCGGGTTCAAGCTAGAGAATCTGGATTTTTAAAAAGAGTGTGCACGACCCTCAAGCCACGATTCTGATAATCGCCCAAATCTGAGAAAACCTGGCTCGGTAAGGTCCCCTGCGCTGCTAAAAAGCCCACAGAACAACGACAACAGAAGTCTGCTATCCCCGCACGACCTCCCCGCCCGCGGGCGTTCTCCCAGGCGTGACGCGTGGGAGACCTGATCTCACCGGGAAGGACTCGGGCGTTGGTCACTTGCTGGCCGTGACCGCTGGGCCGAGTCCCAACACCCAGCGCCGCCCCCTCTGGCCCAGGACACCCGAGCAGAGCGAGGACTGGGGATAGGCGGCGCCCGGCCTGCTTTTCTGCTGGCTAGTAGAGCAGGGTCAGCCCAGCTCGGGCGTCCCCGCCGCAGGCCGGGGCGGACACAGCGCGCGGGGCATTAAAACCCGCGACAAGCGGCCTCAGCCCTCCCGACCCCGCCGCCCCGGAGCAGGGTCCCGGATCTCACCTTAAGCCCCACGCGTCTCTTCCGGTCCGCACGTGGCTTCCCGAAGACCGGCAGCTCCAACATGCCCGGTCATGCCCGGCTCCGACTGCCCGCCTATTGGCTCGCTGGACGGCAGCGCCCGCCCAAGGCCTCTTCTGATTGGCCTAGCCTGCCCGGCGGCGAGGAGGCGGGCAAGAGCCGAAGGGGAGGGACTTCTGAAGGGGGCGTGACTCCTGCAGGGAGCCTACCACACTGGCGGGAAATTTTAAAAAGAAGGGAGGGGAGCCTGGCCTCCTCTAGTCCCCGCTGGCTCCAATCCACTCCGCTACCTGGGTCGGAATGTGGGCTCCTGTGGGCCTCATACCAGGAAAGACCGGATGACTTACAGAGTACACCCACATCTTCAGATTGGGAACACCAGCCCCTACCTCCTCCGGTGTTCAGTGAAACAATATACACAGTGGTCACTAACTAAACACCGCGTCAGCGCTACTTTTTCATTTATTCTTTTGCAAAACTTGACTCATAAGAATTAAGTTCCTACGTGGTCTTGGCAGTGGGGATGCACAGTATAAACACATAAGCATCTTGAGTTGATTACGTTACTTTAAAAATGAAAGCCAGGGGCGGTGGCTCACGGTTGTAATTCTAACACTATGAGAGGCCAAGCCAGGCGAATCACCTGAGGTCACAGGTTTGAGACCAGCCTAGCCAACATGGAGAAACCCTATCTCTACTAAAAATACGAAAGTAGCCGGGCGTGGTGGTGGGCACTTGTAATCCCAGATACTCAGGAGGCTGAGGCATGACAACTCTTGAATCCTAGAGACAGAGGTTGCAATGAGCCAAGATCACACTGCCCTCCAGCCTGGGCAACAGCGCGAGACTGTGTCTCAATAAATAAACAATAAAGGAAGCTAGGCACTGTGGCACATGCCTGTAGTCACAGCTACTTTGGAGGCTGAGGCAGGAGGATCACTTGAGGAGGGCAGAAGTTCAAGGCCACGGTGCACTCTAACTGTGCTACCCTCCAGCCTGGGCACCATAGTGAGACCACACCTCTGCAAAAAATAACTAAATGAAAATGAATAATGTTGGTATCAAATCACTATGATATTTAGATTCCATTGCATTTATTTAATGGCACATTTTTAAGATGTCCGTATTTGCAGATGCTCCTGACTTAACAACAAGGTCATGTCCTGATAAACCCACTAAAATTCACAAGTTGAAAATGCACTTAATAGGGGCCGGGCGCGGTTGCTCACGCCTGTAATCCCAGCACTTTGGGAGGCCGAGGCGGGTGGATCACGAGGTCAAGAGATCAAGACCATCCTGGTCAACATGGTGAAAACCCGTCTCTACTAAAAATGCAAAAAATTAGCTGGGCATGGTGGCACGTGCCTGTAATCCCAGTTACTTGGGAGGGTCAGGCAGGAGAATTGCCTGAACCCAGGAGGCGGAGGTTGTGGTGAGCCGGGATCGCGCCATTGCACTCCAGCCTGGGTAACAAGAGCGAAACTCCGTCTCAAAGAAAAAAACAAGAAAGTAAGAAAGAAAGGGAGTGCTGATCTGCTCAGTTTTTAGAGCAATTGTTCTCTATGTGTCGTCCTAGCCCAGCAAGCATGGGCATTTGCCTGGGAGTTTGTTGGATATGCTGACTCAGAAAATCAGGGTGTGGGGCCCAAAAAATCAGGGGATGGAGCCCAGAAAGTTAGGAGTGAGATTGACAAAATCAGGGTGTGGGGCCCGGTTTAACAAGCTGATAAATAGCTAATCCTGAGGCAGGCTCAAGTTTAGGATCCATTGTGTTGGAGAGTATGAAACTGACAACACGCCCAGTGATAAATGCAAACCATGTGGTCGCTATACTCACACAGCTGCCCCTTCTCTTAGCTCTCTGGATGCAGCAGGGGCTGGACGTTGGACCTACCAGGACACAGCCTGGCACCAATACAATTAAGGTACCTTTGTGCCCTCCCCCAACTCCTGAGACTGTCCAGGATTCTCAAACCCAGGCTAAGTCTCACATGGCTAATTTTTTAAGGGAAGACTGGAAGGATTTGATCCGGGGTCGGGTGGGTGGCGGGGGGCGGCCGCGGCAGTTATTCTCTGCCGTTGCTTGTTCCATTCGACTAGAGTTTTCTCACCTATAAAATTAATTCTTCCATCCGTGGTCCCCAGTCTTGACTCAACATGCTGAAATTTAAGGAAAAAAAAAAAAAAAAAAAAGACGCTTGGGTCACACCTCACGATTCTGATTTAACTGTTCTGGGGTGGGACCTGCAAAGGGAGGTTTTTCAGCCTCCTCAGGTGTTAGTAGTTTGTAGCTGAGACTGAGAATTGCCGCTAAAGTGGAGTGACCTAAAGCTTCCAGCAGAGGACGCTGCCTCCCCGCGCCTCCGGGGAAACGTGCTCAGGGAAACCTGACTGCCGCAGTTGTGATGGGAGGGGCTGGAAATCTGGCTGCTGCGTAAACCAGGTGGCCGCAGTTAAGGAGAGGCGCCAGATTCCCTAACCCTTGGATCGCTGACGCTTTTGTGTTGAGACTCCTAGAAAGTTACCTAAAAAAGTGGTAAGTTAGGGCCGGCCGTGGTGGTTCACGCTGTAATCCCAACATTTTGGGAAGCCAAGGTGGGAGGATAGCTTGAGCCCAGGAGTTTAAGACTAGCCTGAGCAACACAGGGAGGCCCCTTCTCTACAAAAAACACAAAAATTAGCCAGACGTGATGGGGGGTGTCTGTGATCTCAGCTGCTCCGTCAGGCTGAGGGAGGAAGATTGCTTGAGCCCAGGAGGTCCGGGCGGCATTGAGCCGAGATCACACCTCTGCACTCCAGCCTGGGAGAGGATCAAAGCCAGACCCCATTTCAAAACAAAGCAAAACAAAACAAAGTAGTAAATTGTCCACCTTGCTGAGTGACCAAGAAATAAGTCACAATGTCTGCAGGCCTTGATTTCGGCATTTTTAAGTCGGGAGGGACTTGGTCTATATTCATTCTTCAATATAAATTGAGGCCCCTGAAATGGGCAAGATACTGATTTGGGAGGAGGAGGATACACATTTTAATGGGTTAAAATTCCTACAGGATAGGGGAGACTAATAGAAAGATGGTGATTTCCATTTGTTCCTGTTTCAGGAGTGCAGACTTATGGGTACCCAAGGCTGGTGAAGAGGCCAACCATCAAAATCATGAAAGAGAAGGCAGAAGAGAACAATACTGGTGAATACCTACGCCATTTTGTATTAGGACACTTCACGTGCCTAATTATTATAACAACCTCGAAAGGTAGATGTGATCAATTCTATTTTATTGTTGAGGAACCTGAGACTCAGAGATGTTACGTGACTGACTCAAAGTCACACAGCTCATAAGCAGTGGACCCAGGATTCAAACTGGGGTGTTTTTGACTTTAGAGCCAGGACTCCCCCCACCACTTAACAAGGGGTCTCCTAGCCGTCCCTCAAATCAGGAATGCGCCCCACTTCCCTCCTCAGATGCCTGTTTCACTGAGGCTCAGTCTCTCCCGGTTCCATCCCCACACCAGCCCCAGATGCTGAGGGCTGCCTGGGAGAGACTCAGCTCCCCTCCTCTTCTGCTTTCCGGTTCTGCCCTTCTGCCCAGTCTGGGCTTCTCTCCCGCTGTGAAGGACACACACCTGCTGAGTGACACCAATTTGCAGACTTCTCAAGTGTAAATGAGATTTCTAATAGGACTGGCTTCCCACTGGCTTCGGGCGTGGGTAGGGGTAAAGGGAAATGTAAAAGGCTGGAAGTGTAGAATAAGAGAGCCAGTTTGGGGGAGGAGAGGGAGCCACAGAAGCGGAGGCAGCCACTACCTTGGGTAGAAGTGAAGGGCTGACTTGATTTAGAGAGGTCAAGTGCCTTACCAAAGGTCACACAGCTAGCAACCGGAAGAGGTAGAATGAGCTCAGCTAATGGTTGCATTTTTAGCGTTCCCTAAAGGAGTACAGTCCCCAACCAAACTTAAGTTTGTAACGTGCTTTAGTGTCCTCTGCTATATGAACGGAGGAGGTTGGGAATAGACTTAGGAATAGGGAGGGCATTTGGATTTGTTGCTTGACAAATTAATCTCCACTGAAACTGTCAACAATGTGACTCCGTGCTCACCTTAAGGCAAACTACCCGCCCCACCTCGCCCCAGGCAGAGGCATCAAAAAAGGCTGGGAGGCCGGTGGAGGCAGCTAGCTGATGCTTGTAATAATCCCAGCACTTCGGGAGGCCAAGGCGAGGTGGGCAGATTACCTGAGGTGGCGAGTTTGAGACCAGCCTGGCCAACATGGAAAAACCCTGTCTCTACTAAAAATACAAAAAATTAGCTGGGCTGGTGGCGTTCATCTGTAATCCCAGCTAGTCGGGAGGCTGAGGCACAAGAATCACTTGAACCCAGTAGGTGGAGGCTGCAGTGAGCTAAGACTGCCCCACTGCACTCAGCCAGGGACAGAGCGAGACTCTGTCTCAAAAAAAAAAAAAAAGGCTGGGAAATGTTTCTTGTGATGACTCACTCTAATTGTATTTCTGCCACAGTCGGGGATGGACCCCCAAACACTGAGCTTTTTTTCCCTTGGTGACACCTATGGATGTAGGAGCAGAGAGGTAATAAACTCCATACATGCAAGTCCACTCCCTCAGCTGTGGGGCAGGGACCAGACACGCTCTGAGCTCAGTTGTGCCCTCTTTGCGGCCAGGTACACCAAGCATCCAGGAACCTCCGTCTCCAGAGCACGCCTCTCGGTGCCCACTTACACTGTGGCTCCGGGGCCAGAGACAATGAGACCCTGAGCCCCGGGGTGTGGGGTCACAAGTTGCCTCCATTATAGGTGCCCCAAACTGGTTGTTGAGGGAATGAGTAATTAAGGAGGATTTTTCTCTCCCTGACCTTCAGGCAGTGGTGTGGAAGCAGCCCACTGCTCCCTGAAGACAGAGACCCTGCCCCACTTCCCTGCTCACACCGGACTTTGTCCATGTTTCTGGAAGAAGCGTGTTCAGGGTTGCTACTTGAGGTGTTTTCTAGGAAACACAAAAGACACACAGAGAAAGAACCAGAAAGGGGGGCTCCCCCCATGTCCCGCTCTCCGATGCGATGGC